ATAATAAATAAAATAAAAAAAAAACTAATCGATTTAAAAAATTCTATTTAAATAAACTTAACAGTAATAGACATAACTGAAAGCAAATCAAAGTAAAGAAACGCAAATGTAAACAACTAATAAAATAATGTATTCAATGTTTAAAACATGAAATTTATTGTTTCCTTGAAAATCATTAAATTATATCCATCTGCGCTTCTAAGGTGACGTTTACTATGTAATTTTCGCCTTGTTAATAAATTTAGCAATCAAATTAATGTTGTTTTTGAAAAAGGAAGTTAAATTTCTACTTACATAATATTTACAACTACTCCAACACCAGAAGTTATCAACATAATTTTTGAATCAATTTCATAATCTTCGTGTAAGATCCTTTCGGTTGCAAGGTAAACTAACACCCCAGTTACTACCCATATTAGAAGAACCGAAGTAAGAGCTCCTATTACTTCAGCACGGTACCATCCAAAGGACATTTTTCTTGTAGGAGGTCTAGTTGCCACCCAGAGGGCAAAAAGGGATATCATAAAGCTTGCAAAATCTGTTAGTAAATGGGCAGCATCTGTCGCTATTGCTAAACTGCTGGACAGATAACCCCCTTAAATAATGTTTAATAAAGAAAAGTTTAAAAAATCAGTAATTAACAGGAGTTTTACGATTTAACTAAACTACAGCGAAATGGTAACTTTTTGTAATGTAATGTGAAGGTAATTTAATTCATAATAAAAACTAAATACCTAAGTATTTGGAAAAGTATAAATGTGGTCATGCTAGAAGTTAAACTTATTAATCTCATCATTCAATAATATTTTCTTAAAAAACATAAGAACAGTCAAGAATATTTAACTGAATTGTGAATTAAATGCAATTCAATAATATTAGAGGGACTTTTTTAAAGTTAAAAGGTATTTGAAGTAAAAAAGTTTAATTTTTAAAAAATTGAAATTAAGTCTGAAAACAGATGCGAGTTACATTCAATAGATAGTAAACAATCAAAACAATCCAAGGCTTATTAATAGTCAAAAGGTGTACGATTTGGCATGGTACTGTTATAGTCTCCAACCACTCAAGGTTAAAATTTAAACATACCGTGTGTTTAAATTTAAGCAATACTTAATACAATATTGTATAGAATATCTTTTATTACGTTAATATGAAATCACGAAGTATTTTAAAAAACTATACCGTGTATGTATCACTCTATGTAATTTTAATAAAAGCAATAAAATGGAAATGATAAGGTTTTACGAAAAGATGAGAAAAGGTTTATTAAATCACACTATATAAAATAAATAATNTTATTTACAAGTATTTTGAATATTATTATTTCAATTTTATAAACAATTAACAACACAGTATAATAAACAACTCTTGAGGAAATAAAGTAGGCATTCTTATTAATAACTTATTGATACTTATCAACCATCAGTGATCAGTTATAAGGTGATTGATTGAAAATTGTCACACTGCACCAATACTTTTTTATGATGAATTTCAAATTTAGGTATAGTTAATTCTTGCTGTTAACAATTTTATCAACTTTAATAATGTAGATAAACAACTATTACACGCGTATAACTACGACCTTAAATACAATTTATACCATAAAATATAAACATTACAAAAAGATTAAATTCTGTTAAACACTTTTACCCAAAATTCCACAATATGTATGAAAACTTAAAATGGGTATCGAAACCCCAAAGTGTCCTCTTCAGGTACCTACGTGTTTTAGGGTACCCGAATTTATTTCATTCCAAGTAAACAAATCGTATTATTTACGAAATATGCTTCGTAATATCGTTTGATATAAATAAAAGTATCTTATAAATATTAATTTAAGGAAGCTATAAAAATACCACAAGCCAATTTTCTTTAAGGTAAATGGCGGTTTATAATGACAATAAACGTAAACAAAAAATACGCAAAATCAACGTAAATGACGCAATTTGTTGTAGTAGGTAGGAAATTGTGAAGATTATGCAAAAGTATTGATTAAAATTTGTAATTGTGAAATTGCAAATTCCCCCATACATTAAGGAAATCCATGGAAAATTTATAATGCGTTAATAAATGATTAGCGTTTGTTTTTCTTCCTTGAAGTTTCTTTCAGATTAATTAATTAATACAAATTATAATAAAACAAAAGAATTTTACCGTTCTAGAAACAAATTAAATCCTATTACTACTTTTTCATTAAAGTTTAAAATTAAATAAGTTTACTTTTCAAGTATTACCAGCACATCTGTTAATTATTGGATACTTATCGAAAAAAAAAAAATAAAAAATAACATTTAAAACAAACTGCTTACCAGTTGAAGCCATTTTAAAACCAATTATTTAAAAAATAAAAATTGGTTGTCTGGTTTACTATAAGTTAATGTCATCAGCGCAAAACAGAAGTACTATTAAGTATTATAAAAGTACCTAATCTACACCGCACTATTGTTTTAATAAATTATATCATTATTGTAACATCAGGATACGTTATTTTTTACTATTTAATTTAAATTCAAAGAAAACCTTTTTACTTCTTGTAACTGAAAATAAGTAAGTACCTACACAACAGATTAAAAATGATAACGTTTATAATACGTAATGAAGTTTGATAAAAGCTTCTAAGTACCTGCTTCGTCTTCAAACAAAGTCAATCAAAAATACTTAACATTGAACCAATTTTTAGGGTATATAGGAATTATGGCATATATTCATCCAATTTTTAACATATGCGTATTCACCTAAATAATACTATATATAGCATAAAGTAAGAAAAATAAACACAAAACAGATTTCTTTTATTCTTTTACCGCACGTGTCTTTTACTTAACTGCTTAATTTTATTTATTTAGAAATGTTGAATTAAAAAAAGTAATAAATGTGCTTTGCGTCTGCATGACAATTTAATGTACAGTTAATAACTGATTATGGTTTTTTGTTAGTAATTTAATCCACCATAACTTTCACGGTATTAGAATCATTCATTAAAATTAAACAATTTCTATCATATCATCAAAAAACACTGTTTAAAAGTAAACAGCCTCGTATAATCCGATAGTTTACTAGGTAATCGCAATTACAAAACCCAAAATACGTGGTTAATTTTTTTTTCACGCAATAATGCTACATTTTTTAATTATTACAATTAACAATTATTATTAACGTTTCATTTAACGGTATTTTAGAGAAAACTTGATTGTCTGTAAAATCGTCATTGGAACAAAACTAAAAATGTAATTTATGCGTATTACAACGTTTGATAGGAACTTTTACTAAAATAGTTGATAACGACGACTCGGGGCTCAAATGAACGTACTAATCGAATAGTATTTCTTTGGGTATACTGTACCTACAATCTTATTTTAATTATCAGTTTAATTTTGTACGATTAACGTAAAATTGAACTGTTAACTAGGTCATAGACATTTTCAAACCAATGTTTACCTTAATTGAATTATTAAAGTTGCTGACTAATGTAATATTCATTAATTGGTAAACACACAAAGTACAATTTGTTATCTAACATTTACTAATTCAACAATTTTATTCAAAAAAAGGACCAATTTCATTAAAAATTAATAATAAGAACGGTTTGTATAAAACACAAACATTTTGATATGCACTGTAAATTTTCGAATGCTTTTTACAATAATTTTTTTTTATTAATTATGTATTATATATTTTACTCTTACCTTTATTTACCATCGTTTCTGTTACTACAAAGACATATTCTGATTTAAATTTTGTAGAACTCAATAAATATTATTTAGAAACCATTTTACTAAACTGGTCATTGTCATTATTTTTACTGTCAATTTTGATTTTACATTTTTTCAGTGATAAAAGAACGAATTTTGTGTTATCGAATTTAAGTTAATTCAAAAACATAACATCGCTACAATACGCGCACATTAGCAACTTCGAGAATGAGGTATCTCAGGTGTCTGTTAAGCGATCAACTGATTAACATTTTTTCTGTCCCCTCCATTATATTTGAAAAAGATTTCAGAAAAACTTTACGAAGGTTAAGCATATATTATACAGCAGTTATTGATGTTATTTGCTTAAACTTACCTAAATGTGTGGCGTGTGAATTTTCCCTAGCATCACCTATTTCTACAGAGTGTTCAAAATTATCTTGAACTTCTCTTTCAAGTACTTTGCAGCATCCTGCATTTGGTTTACCATGAACGCAATAAACAACCTTCTTTGGCGTTCCTAGTGCTCCATATTTATTTACATTATTAAGTCTGAAAAAAGAATAATTACTAAAGGAATATTTATTAGCATGAAGAATGGGCCATAATCAAAAAGTAATTTTTAATTTTCAAACAAAATCGATATAATTATCATAAATAAAGTAATAAAATAATATTGTACTTACGTTAAGTTTGCGGTTTCCACTTCTTCAGACATGATTGTGTACATATTTTCCGTTATTTTATTAAAAAAAAAACACCTTAATTTTTATACCGGCAAATAAGATGAATTCATATTACGGTAAGAATTCTAAATTGACTACTTAACGTGGCAAATAGGAAAGACAAACATGCTCACTGCACCCGAAACCAATAACATCACTTATCATTTTGTTGAGGGTCTTTAGACAGAAAACAAGATAAATGTCGTTTCTTGATTCATTTTTAGAAACACATTTTATACAAAATCATTTCGCTACTGTTAGCCGTTAGTCTGTTATCTAAGCTCAAATTCAAGTTCAAAATAATGTAACGAATACAAGTGTATGAAGTTAACGTATCAATTTTTAATACTTTTCATAATTTGTAAGGTACTATTACTACATTTTTATACCAATTTTTTTATTTTCCATAAAAAGGTTCATTTATTTACTTTTAATTAAAATAAAACAAGAAATATTTTAATTATAAGCTAATGGTTACTAATTACATAAGAATATTTTAGGGAAGGAGGGTTTAATAACATCCTATCTTTCTATACGCTTAAAGTTTTATTTTGTGTTCACCACAAATATTTTATGTATATCTACAATACCTAATTGTCCCAAAAGTCTTAATAAATTTTCGTTAAATTACCATACAATTATTTGAAAATAT